CTGTTTAAGACATTTCACTATAAAAGTTTAAGCACTGAGTTGTGTAATACGGGTTACATTACCAACTATTACTGTAACTCCACAGGGCTGCGAGAGGAATCACACGCGGATCACACTGGAATCGCACTTTGAAAAGACGCAAATCGCAAATACTGCAATTTTTGAGTCATCTGCATTCCAGCCAAAAGAAAAGTTACATAATGTGTCTTTATATAAAACTAAAAACAATAACAAAAAATACTTCCTCTCAGAATTATAAGGTTTTATTTGAAGGCGTTCTGTGTAGTCCTGAGATATTTATGGTTTAAAGTTTTGATCACTTGTACAACAGAAAAAAAGAGAGCAATACATTCATATGATATATCGCCGAAGAAAGAAAGAAAGACGATAAATCATAATATTGGAACTAATTTATGCCTCTGACTTGATAAAAGCTTGAGTAGGTATATCACACAAAACTGTTCTAAATATTGTTAAAAATAGCTAAATGAATCATAGAGCAGAAAAATAACAAAAAGGTCCCCACTAGTACAAGTTCTCTCGATAAATACTGACCCTCAAAAATGATTGTTCCATCAAACCTGTATTGAACGATAAGTCGATATAGTAATTATTATGACAGGTCTGCAGATTGAGTCAGGCAGATTACAACACAAGTTGATCTTTGATACTGCAGATAGAGCCATCTGTTTTTGCTTGCACCAAACTGTATAACATTTTGTGAGAGTTAACAGAAGGCACCCAAGAACAATAAATACATATACATAATACAGATATTTCGACAAGAGTATCAAATAGAGCCTTATCATTCTAAGAGGATGTCTGTTGATACTTTGCAGTTGATGTCATCCACATTCCCTGGGGGTGTGATGCTAACTGTAAGCTCTATTCTGTCTGAGGCTTTGTTAGACTTTTATCTGAGCTTTATTTTAACTCCAGGAGATCTGTTATTATTCAATTCTTTTTATTGACTTTTATAAATGTTTAAACATAGATAAACATAACACAAAAACAACAACAAGACAGCAGGCAATTCCAAAAGAAACAGAAACTCAAAAATTCAAAAGATATTATATCGATGTCTAGAAGTCATATTAGTTATATGAATTAGCAAAAGAAAAATAATAATAATAAAAATATATACATACATATGTATATACATACATACATACACATACGTACATAATAAATAATTGAAGGAAAAAATACCAGGAGATCTGTTAAACAAGTCCATCTCATTTAGACCAGGCTGGCGCCACCAAGTGCCTCCACTCAGTTTCATTTCTCTCCAGCGACGAGATCAGGAATGGGAATACACTAGATGGTTTGCAGGAACCCTGGAAGTTGTAGACCGTACACCAGCCAATCAGAGAAGAGCTGTGAAGTCATGATGTCAAACTCAAGCGTCTGTCTGGGTCCCTTTTCTGGTTCAGCACAACAGTAAACAAACTTGTTGAGATGTATATAGACGAAGACAGACAATCTGTGTTGGCAATGATTTTCCGAGATTTAGGATTTAAAGCCAGAACAAAGAGAATGTTTGGTGAATTTTATCAAGGGGAAAGACGTTATTGCCCTTCTTCCTACGGGATTTGGCGCATTACATACACGAACAAATAGCAGCGATTGGTTAAATAAAAAAAGTACCCGCCTACTGTTGAGCGAAAGAATGAATCCTAATGGTTTCCATAAAGTGAAACCGACTGATGAATCAGGCTACATCATTTGCAGACTGTTTTTCACCTTTTTATTGAAAATCAAGCTCCTAAACACGAGCCTGAACATTCATATTGATCTCAGGCTCCCGAAAATATGTTATGTTATATATTAAAATCCACTTTGTATTTTTTTTTTTTCAGTTTTCTGAAAATAAAAATGTGTCACCATGGTAACTGATGAACATTCCTCCATAGGGGCTGGGATAGATGTAGAACCCCCCCCTCCACAGCATGATGTCACTGTAAAGTATCGGTAGACAAAAATGTGACGTTGTTTTGTGTGTTTTTCTAGATGGCCCTGTGAGGAGACACCCAATGGCTTCCACAGGCACTGGCCTCCGTGAGTACACAACATACATTACACACACATCAATAATACACAAGGCTCACGTGACGCACAACTGAATCCTATAGTTTAAACCGAGCTGGAGCCGGGTCAGAGCTTTGTGGGTCAAGGTGCTGTTTAAAGGTAAAGGTGCACTGTGCAACTTTATGGTGGAGGGTCTGCTGCCTACTTGTCTCCATGTACGAAAAATCATGTGTTAAAAATACATTATTTGCTTCTGTGAATAGGGGCGACTCTCCACAGATTTGACCTGTAATGTAGTGTAGTGCTGTGACCTGCTTGTCTCTCTCATGATAAATAGATTTAATCTATTTTGTGGAACATTCTAGACAAAGCATCAACATTTCCTTGGACATAAGTAGGTGATGGAGCCTTCACTAGAAATGTTACACAGTGCACCTTTAACTGCAGGTTTATGGTTCATGTCTCTGTAATTACTGGGCCCACATAAAAAAAAAAAAAAACATGCAAAGAGCTTGACATATTTTCAATCCATCCATTTTCTTCCACTTATCCGGGGGCAGCAGTCTAAGCAGGGGCTCTCAGACTTCCCCCACCCCAGACACTTCCTCCAGCTCCTCCAGGGGGACCCCAAGTCGTTCCCAGGTCAGCCCAGAGACATAGTCCCTCCAGTGAGTCCTCGGTCTTTCAGGGGAAATGCCCTGAACACACCCAGGAAGCATCCGGAACAGATGCCCGAGCCACCTCAGTTGGCTCCTTTTGACGTGGAGGAGCAGCAGCTCTACTCCGACCTCCTCCCGTGTGACCGAGCTCCTCACACTATTTCTAAGGGAGCGCACAGCCACCCTGCGGAGGAAAGTCATTTCGACCGCTTGTATCCTCCATCTCGTCCTTTCATTCATTAGCCAAAGCTCATTTTAAGTGCCGTATTTTCAGTATTAACACATAAACAAACAAAGGCTGAATTATTTATATAACATTTTCAGAAAGTGGTGCCATTATTCAACCACAAAGACGTGATTGTAGTCAGTTGAAAGAACTTCAAACTATGAGATGAATATTGTGAACCCAATCCCAAACAAATAATGATAAGGTTCAACATTATTAGTACTAGAATTTTAAAAGAATTTGATAATGTTATAATTTCAGACGGAAATGCAGAAACCTATAACTGTATGGGAGATTCAGTGTTTTTGCAAGACGTTTGTTGGCTACAACCATGACTTTGGGGCTGAACAATGACACCACTTACTGAAGCTGTAGTGAAGAAAGAATTTTCACTTCCGTATTTATACTGACAGAGAAGACTTTGAACTTTGTGCCAGTCTGTCCTCCAGCTCAGGTTAAACTGCAGGGATTCTGTACAGCTTAACGATGTCTGTTTTAACAAGTGTCGTTCTGTGGTGTCAGGGATCCAGTGCGATGATAACCTGCAGTCGATGCTGGTGGGGACGGTCATGAGGAAGATCAAGTCTCGAACCTGGAAAAAACAGAGACACTTCAGACTCCAGGACGACTGTATGACCATCTGGTACCAGTCCAAGAAAGCCGGCAACGCTCATTCCACATGTGAGGGACTTTACTGAACTTATATATGTACTACTACTACAGTTTTAATATGGAAATAAGAGGGTTAGTATTACTTTTTGACCATCTAGTACCAGTCCAAGAAGGCTGGCAATGATCACTCCACATGTGAGGGACTTTACTGAACTTATATATGCACTATTATTACTACAGTTTTTATATGGAAATAAGAGGGTTAATATTATTTTTTGACCATTTTGTACCAGTCTAAGAAGGCTGGCTATGCTCACTCCACAGAATTGTGAGACATTATAATACACTGAATTAATATGTACTATCAACAAGTAATATGTACAAGTCAGTATTTTCACTCCAGTCCGAAGTAAACCCTGTATGGTTCCAGAGGGGTCTAACCTTTTTTGGACACTGATATGCTTTAAGCTAAAGGAAGGATCTCCAACCTGTAGCTCGAGAGCTACCTTTACCTCTCCATCTTCTTCCAAGTAGCTCACCAAGGGATTTCTGAATTATACCTATTGTGCTTAATAATTAAAATCTGATTATTTACCATTATAGATGTATCGTTTTGATGCCTAACCTGTGCACTAATAAATGGATAATGGGTTATGTTTCATAAGCATCTAATTGTACCCTCTCTAAGGCTTCTCAATTTCTTGCGACTGCTAAAATGAGTAGCTCTCTTTCATTTTTGATTTGTAAAGGAGGTCACCGGAGGAAACGGTTGGAGACCCCTGCTTTAGGCTAAGGTGTGGCTGCACAAACAAAATTACTGAGTGTGAGAGAACGCTTTCTCAGGCAAAAAAGACAAAAAAATCTGATACGAAAAGAAAATTTCTCACCAAATGCTCACTTGATGTTGTGATGATTGCAGCTTACATGTTAAGACGACATACTTAGCAAAGGTAACATTGCACATTTAATAATCACCCTATGATTCAAAAGTATAGTTCAGGCACAGTTTAGGTTTAGCCCTTAAAGCTTTGATTGTGGCCCAGACGAGGATTTGGGCCAAAGCACGGCACAGAGCTCACGTACGTGCACCCACATCACTTTACTATACGAACCTTGTGTGTGCGCTGATGTTACTCACACGAGGAAATGTGAATGAAGTGAATCTGCTCCAAACCAGACAGTGAATCTGCACTTACCTTCAATACGAACTGTGACAGAGACAGAAGTTTTACAGTTGATAGTCTCCGGGTGTCCTCACTCCTCTGTGCTGTTGTTAAATCCATAAACTCAAAGAGGAGCACGTATCATAACAAGACTCATATCTGTCTCATTATTTAATGGATATTTCACTGGACTTATCTTCTCCGCTGAAACTAAACAAATGGCTCTGTGTGATGACGTTATTGCGCTGTGGCTCAGGTCGTGCAAGTGTGAGTGCAGAACGTAGACTCCTAGACAGTCGTGCTTGAGTCTAGGATTCTGCCCAGGTTTTAAAGTCCTAGTGTGAGTTCGCCCTCACAGACCCAAGCCCTGCCCCTGGACTCAGAAACACAACTCAGACTCAGCTGGAGGTGGCCACACGCTGAGGCCCCTAGTGAATAGCGCCTTCTCTTTTTTTTCTCCTTCTCTCTCTCCCTCTGTCTCTTCAGAAAGTTCCACAGTGCACCTTTAACCTTCTCTGTCTCTGTCCAGTCTCCGTGAGTGATGTGGAGGCGGTGCGTGAGGGTCACCAGTCTGAGGTGCTCCTGTCCATCGCGGACGAGTTTCCGGCCGAGCGCTGCTTCACTCTGGTCTTTAGGGGGCGCCGTGGGAACCTGGACCTGGTGGCTGAGTCTGCAGAGGAAGCCCAGTCCTGGATCAGAGGGATGAGGAAACTGATCGAGAATGTGGAAAACATGGGAGAGAGGGAACGCCTGGACCAGTATCCTTTTAAATAATTTTAATCCCATAGTTTTGCAGAGGGGAGACAACATTGGTGTTTTTCAGATTCTAATGTGAGGAAGAGCCAATTTTCCTATTGATTACTCTAACATAAAATATCCAATAGGTAAATTCACAAATGTTAAACCTGATCATTTCTTTTAGTGACTAGAACTTGCTGTATTACAACATAAATCTGCATTTTAACAGTTTTAATTTAACTGCTCCTTCTCTGTATTGAATAATATTGGCCTTTTAGTTGTTTACTTTTGTAGCATTACAGTTCTTGCTTATTTGGAGAACAGAAATTTGTTTATGTTTATATATTGCAGTTACAGTGGTTAGAATCTCTCTCAGATCCTTGGGCAAGACATTTTACCCTCCATATAGGTATGAATGTTGTGAGTAAGTGGTTTGTGGTGGTCTGTGGGGCTGATTGTGCAGATTGGCAGCCTTGATTTTGTCAGTCTGTCCCAGGGCAGCCTATAGTTGTGGCTTACCTCTAACAAGTGCGGAGTAAATGAAAAATTCCCTCCTCCAGGCCAAGACTTGATGACAAAATGTTTAAAACTTAATAGGACCTTACTAATTTGAAATTGTTCTATAATAATAAAAAGTTAAACATATTTTTGGCTTTGTTCTAGTAGTAGTAGTAGTAGTAGTAGTAGTAGTATTTGTAGTCCTCCTGGATGTTTTTGTCCTTATGAGTTCCTCAGGTGGATCGGAGACTGGTTCAAAAAGGCGGATAAGAATCGCGATGGGAGGATGAACTTTAAAGAAGTGAGAGACCTGCTGAAGATGATGAACGTGGACATGAACGAGCACCACGCTCACAGACTCTTCACCGTGAGTCTTTAATACTGCGGAACCTTTTCTGTTTCAGTCTCCACCCTCTGCTCTTCTCAATGGAGTTTGCTTAGAATATTTCACACAACATCTTAATCTTATATATTTTAGATTTATTCATTTTGTTGATTGTTAAAAAAAAAAAAAAAAAAAAAAACTTGAAAAACTAGGCATTTTTAGTTCGTCACCTCTCCTCGGGTCTGATCTGTAACTTGGCTTCATATGCTTTTCTCCATGGAGATGGATATGTGTAATGCAATACTGTGTTCAATTCCAGGCCAAGTTGTGAACCCTCCACCAGAAAAGTTACATAGAGCACCTTTTAAATCTCCTAAATGTTAAAATAGTCTTTTACAACCTGAAAATGCATGTAGGGGATAATATGAATCCATGTATTATTCATTCATTCATTTTTCTAAGTAAAACCAAAAATAAGAAAATGGAAAAGCAACTATTTTCTTCATTATTTATCTCCAAAACCAAAATTAAAAAACGCATAACAATTCATTTTTTCAGTTGTCGATTTTGTGTTTAAATGAATAATGGAAAAAACGGACAACGGCTGTTTTCCGCTTCATCCAATTTTGACCCTTATGGACTAAACCAGGAACAGGAAACAGGAAATGTCTGTTATCTGTTTTTTCCATTATTCATTTAAACAAACTCGAAAACTGAAAAAATTAATCGTTATCTGTTTTTTCATTTTGGTTTTGGAGACAAATAATGAAGAAAATAGTTGTTTTGTTTTCGTTCTCTTATTTTTGATTTTATTTTGAAAAACTAATCAACTAATGATACACGGATTAATATGGTTTGTTCAAATTATTCTCTTTTCCATATCTATCAAAGCTACTAAGCAAATTGTTCAGTGTTGTTTCTGATTTTTATTTCATTTCACTTGTATACTTTTTCATTCTAATAATTCAGTCCCATTGTTTCTTTTTCCCCTCGCTCATCCCCTCCTCTCTCCTGACTTCAGATGGCGGACAAGTCTCAGTCCGGCACTCTGGAGGACGATGAGTTTGTGTTGTTTTATAAAATGTTGACGCAGCGCGAGGACCTGCTCCGAGTTTTCCGGGAGTTTTCCACAGACGGGCAGAAGCTTTCACTCAGAGATCTGGGGGAATTCCTGAGGGACGAGCAGCTGGAGACCGGAGACCCCCAAACGAAGGCGCAAGAGCTGGTGGATAAATATGAGCCGTCTGAGGCAGGTGAGACTGACAGGAACAGAGAGATGGAGTAAACAGGACAATACAGAGCTGCAGGTTTAAACAGGAGGGAATATGAGACAAAGAGTGTATATACTTAATTATTTTTTACTAGTACAACTCAGAGAACTAGAAATCTAATTAACAAAAGCATGTAATTTAGTACATGGATGTGTCATTTAATAAGTACAGTGAAATTTGAAATAACTTTTGTCTTTACCGTATTATTTTGGCCCCTTTTTTACATAATTTTCCTTTTCAAAATGTGCAGAGATGTGGACAAGTCATATCAGATGTAACTGTTTACATTTCAGTAATCTGATAACTCCAGAAATCAGATAACGATTGTATTTTTTGTGCATATAAACATAGTCATTGTCTCGTCTTAAAAGTCACTTTTATTCTCTGGCTTTTAACACTGTGCTTTGTGTGGTCCTCTGTGTCTTTTATTGTTTTGTTTTATTGATTTTATTTATTATTATGGGTAGGGGAGTGCAAAAATATTGCAATATCGATATGTCGTATTGTTTAATTTGATGATACAGTATCGATAGCGTGGGCTGCTGTATTGATATATTGCCAAGAGTAATATTTTACTAAATTATTTTGTGTAAGACTTACAATTGTGTTGACATTTTCACTGTTTTGATGAGCAAAATTGGCATGTTTCATATTACCTTTGCGCAAATTTACTAGATTTTTAGTGTCACACCCATGTTTTAGCCTTTTTTCCACGGAACCGTATCGAAATGATTTGAAATATATCGTATTAAATCGTACTGAATCAAAAGTGTGCTGTATCGAAAAACATATCATCTCGAGGCCTCTGTATCGTATCGGCAACTTCTTAATGATACCCAGCCCTACTTATGGGTCTATATTTCACAGTTTTATTTGTTTTTATTGTTTTAAATTGTAGATTTTTGATTTTTTGAACTTTGGAAACAGTTTTTGTTTTTAAAATATGATATAGAAATAAAATGGATTGGATTGGAGTGTGGGCCAATGTGCTTAGCTCTGGAATGTAGAGTCAAGCAATTCTGATTAGTTTTCCTTACGATTTTACTTATTTCCACTGCCCAAATCAGAATTAAGTATAACTAGGCTTAACATGCATTTTTACATTTAAATAAAGTAGAAATTGGGATGGAGCAGGAGAAAATTATAACAACTGTGCCTCAGAATGTATTGAAGCTTACCAACATTCAGTTAAATCTTCTATTTCGTGGTCATTTTTTATGAGTATAGGCCATTTTCTCACGACAAATGTACAAAAACAACTCAAATGTGACTTTACTTAACTTTACATAACGTTTCACAAGACATATTCATGCGTTGTGTGTGTTGTTTCGTAGCTAAGCAGATGAAGGCGATGAGTTTCGATGGCTTCCTGATGTACCTGGGCTCTTCAGAGGGGAACATCTTCGACCCCAAACGTAGAGGAATTTACCAGGACATGGAGCAGCCGCTGAACCACTACTACATCTCCTCCTCCCACAACACCTACCTGATGGAGGACCAGCTCAGAGGGCACAGCAGCGTCGAGGGATACATCAGGTACGGAGCTGCTGAGGTTTACGCTTAATTTAGGCATTTACATTTCAGCTCTATAATGGCTTTTTACTTAACTTATGCAGTTTTTAGACTTTAGACAGACTTTATTGATCCTCAGGGGACATTACTTGGACACAGGAGCTCACACATCACAATATATTAAAAGAACAAATATGATGTGTATGTATGTTGTTGTTGTTATTATTGTTGTTGTGGTTGTTGTATGTTAATGTGGTCAGTTGTTTACGTGAACATTTTTGTCTGAAAATTAATACAAAAATATTTGAAAAAAAATAACAAAGAACAAGAAATTTGAAAATGGTATTAAAACTTCTAAAAATGTAGCAATAAGAAAGAGACTCCTGTCAAAAACTGGTGTCTGTCAGGCGCACGGTGTGAATTAATTTTCTGCAACTTTTTTATGCACATTTGACTTTCTTACTCTAATATATCAGAGGTGGGGCTTGCAAGTTGTGACTTGGACTCGAGTTCAACTTGAATCTCAATGACTCGGGACTTGACTCGGACTTGAGGCCTGTGACTTGAGAACACTTGATGCTTCTCCTAAAAAATATATGTTTTTTTGAAAATACATTTCTCTTTACAGTTGATAAATGCGGTGATGAATTTTACAGGAACAAACTGGAACATGTCCCTCACACTTCTGTTTGTTACTTTGGATGGAACTGAAGTACTGTGATACTCAAAAGTACTACAGTAATATAAAGTACAATACAATAAAACAGAGGGAACACATAGAACATGATCCTTCCATTTCAGTGCAGACTACATGACAAAATATCTGCATTTTTAAATCTGAATTCTTTCTGACCATAAAGATTCACACTAAAGTCTTGGCAAGACATTTAAAAAGGAAAAATTTGCATTTCTATAACTCTTATAAAAATACTTATATATGGGTATTGTATATGAGTATTTATAGAATATTTAAGAGTTGTTGATATTAATTTAGTTAATTATTCCTTTTTAAATGAATAGAAAGAATTCAGATTTAAAAGTACTTTTCAAGTCTTCTCAAGTCACAGGCCTCAAGTCCAAGTCAAGTCCCAAGTCTTAGTCCATTTTATCAAGTCAAGTCTCAAGTCCTGAAAACAAGTTACGACTTGCAAGTATTTTAATAATTACAAATTTATATGGTCATAACAATTATATGGTAACATAAATATAATATGTTGTAGTGGAAAATGTATGTTGCATGAAAATGTTTTTGTTTTGACATACAGTACAGTAATAAATATTAAACATTTCATTTTGAGTTTCTGTTTCTACTAGTTTAGGATTAAGTCCAGGTTTGGTTCTAGGTTCAGTCCCAGTTTAGTCCCAGTGTTTAGTGTGTGTGTGTGTGTGTGTGTGTGTGTGTGTGTGTGTGTGTGTGTGCTGGTTTAATAACTTATAATGAATGATCAACCATCAGCACAAATTACTGAGAGAGGCTTCATCCTTTCTCTGAATTCCTAACGAACAAATTGAGTGTTAAATCTCTCTTTTCCTGGTGCTTCTCAGTAAAAACCCCTCTCTCTAATTCACTTCCTGTGGTCCTCTGTTTCTCTCTTCCTTCATCCATCAGTTCTTTTCCATCAGAGGCAGTCACTGTGTAATGTGCTGACGTCAGGGACCATTTAAGAGCCTCAATCACATTTGTGTTAAACTGCTCCATCCAATAAACCAGGACCAGAGCCGTGGAGACACACAGACGAGAATACAGAGTGGATTAAGCACTTACGCTAGAGCCTGTATTACATTATGCACATTTTGACCAGCAGCATTTATAAATTAAATCTTCTAGCATTAAAATATTGATACTTTGCAGCTGAAGTCATCAATACTCCTTCCTAACTAGAGGCACTGCTCTGTCTGAAGCTCTGTTACTTGAGTTAGACTTTAATCTAAATCCGTTTTGTTTGTTTTTTTTCCATTCATGCTCTGTTCTGGCTACTAACAGTTTAACATTATCTTGCTTTTCTTGTTCACGGTGAATACACACTTTTAATTCTATTCATTTTGGACTACATATAACCCACTTCTGGCCTATTTAACATGATCATATTTTTCCATTTTTAGAGCTCTGAACAGGGGCTGTCGCTGTGTGGAGATCGACTGTTGGGATGGAGCCAACGGGGAGCCTATAGTTTATCACGGACACACTTTCACCTCCAAAATCCTGTTTAAAGACGTGGTCAGCGCCGTCGCCAACTACGCATTCAAGGTAACAAACTTCCATCCATCCATTTTCTTCCGTGGCGACCCGGCCCCGGCGGGTCGCAGGGGCAGTAGTCTAAGCAGGGACTGCCACACTTCCCTCACCCCAGACACTTCCTCCAGGTCCTCCAGAAGGACCCCAACGTGTTCCCAGGCCAGCCCAGAGACATAGTCCCTCTAGAGTGTCCTGGGTCTTCCCCGGGGCCTCCTCCTATGTGACTGAGCTCCTCACCCTATCTCTAAGGGAGCGCCCAGCCACCCTGCGGAGGAAACTCATTTCGACCGCGTGTATCCGTGATCTTGTCCTTTCGGTCATTACCCAGAGCTCATGACCATAGGTGAGGGGATGAACGTAGATTGACGGTAAATCGAGACCTTTGCCTTTCGGCTCAGCTCCCTCTTCACCACAACGGTCCGATACAGCGACCGCATCACTGCAGACGCTGCACCGATCCACCTGTCAATCTCACGTTCCGTCCTCCCCTCACTCGTGAACAAGACCCCGAGATACTTGAACTCCTCCACTTGAGGCAGGGACTCTCCACCCACCTGGAGAGGACAAGACACCTTTTTCCAGTCGAAAACCATGGTCGTGGATTGGAAGAGCTGAGACTCATTCCAGAGGCTTCACACTCGGCTGCAAACCGGCCCAGTGCACACTGCATCTCCTAATTTGATGGAGCCATCAGGACAACATCATTTGCAAACAGCAGAGATGAGATCCTGTGGTCCTCAAACCGGACCCCCTCCGGCCCCTGAATGCGCCTGGAAATTCTGTCCATAAATACAATGAACAGAACCGGTGACAAAGGGCAGGCCTGGCCGAGTCCAACTTTGACTTCTTTAATTGTATTTATTAAATATTTTAGCAGCCATTGTAGTACTGCTTTTTGGAACTACAGCTTCTCAAATTGTATTTCTTATCAACTCTTTTTAGTCCAAGCCAAAGGTAAATTCAGTAAATTCTCATGTGTGAACAATCTTGTCCCATCCCTAAAATTGTAATTCTGATTTATTCTGAGTTACAAAAACATTGAACATTATGGCCAAGTTTTTATTGTCATAATTTGGTGTTCTCTCTATGATCAGATTTTGCTTAATATGTCTCATTTAAAAAAACTCTTTAAAAATCTGCACTATTGGCTAAACTATTGTCTCATATATTGGTTCTACCCGTCCTTTCTTATCGTCTTTTGATACTAATTCCTCTCAGATTGGCGGCGGTGTCTGTCTAGTTGTTGCTCGTGTCATGGTTTAACAGTCTGATTGGAAAGTTGATCCCGCGCTCCTCATCCAAGCGTTCACTCAATCGAACAAGAGGCTGATCTTAAATTTATGAAGCGATTACAACCGGGCCATAATATCCACACATGAGTCGACAGATACTGGTGTCAGGAGCGAGCCAAACAGAGACAGGTTCAGAAGTGTGTCAGAGCAGAGGTGCAAAAGGGCATGTCTGTAGAGAGGGGAGGACAGGTTAAAATACTAAAATTTCAAACTTTGATATTAAGGAAGAGACTTGCTGCTCAATACTGATTCTGATACTGCAAGGATAATAAAAACTCTTTTTCTTTTGACAATAGAATGTGATTTTCAGTATTAAATCCACATTGGTTTTTAGTAGATACTAGATACTAGGGATGTAACTGTACACAAAAATCACAGTTCAGTACGTACCTCGGTTTTGAAGTCACGGTTCAGTTCATTTTCAGTACAGTACGGGAACAAAATGCAAAACAATTTGTGTATTTATTAAAACCACAATTTGTTTTAACATTATACAAATGGGGAAATAAAATAAATGCAAAGTGCTGCTTGGTAATACTAATAAGTTCAATAAAATACTCTCAAATAAGCAACAAATGAATGAAATATAAAAAATAAATTCCCTGTAAACAGTAAACAAATCTTTTTAAAATGTAAAGCGCAGCACTAACAGTTCCAGGAGGAAGTTTTACTCAATTTTCATATTTTTGGTCAGAAAAAACAACTTGTCCACATCGTCTGCAGTAAGTACAGATCTGCTGGTAGCTGCAACGTCCCCAGAGGTTGAAATTACCCTTTTGCTAAAGACAGAGGTCGTAGGTGCTGGCTAAAAGCAAAAGTGAGGACCATGGAGCAACGATCGTAGTTTTGCGAGGATTCACGCGGTTCGGAGGGACGTAGTCAAGGCGGGGAGCAATTGTTGTCAAGGTGACTGCCCTAACTATAAAGCGCTGCGGGAAACACTGCCCCAATCACGGATGAGTTCCCTTGTGAATATTAAAAATCCGAGCCTTCCGTGTAGCTGCACATGTAGTGGCGAAATGTAAACACACACAAATTGCGCAAACTCACTCGTGCACAGACCTGCACCGAACCGAACGTCCCATATCGAAAAGGTTTGACACAAATAGATGAACCGTTACACCCCTAATTGATACTGTATGAACATCTAGTTTTGATACTTTTACTATGGATTTACTATTTGATTTAAAATTTTTGACAACCCCATACTCATGTAAGAGGAACGTTGCCTCAAAATAATATTACTTAAAGGTTGTATGGAAGATTTTTTTTAGTTTCAAACTGTCAGTGAAAGATTAAAATATATTACAGAGACGCAGCAGCTTTGTAATTATGATGACCAAAAAAAAAAAAGAACGAAAATCTATCAACTGTGGACGTAGTGAGGCCAGATAAACATCAGCCAATAGAAAACGAGGCTCCCTCATTTTCTATTGGCTGTTAGGTTGTCAATCAAACTCCCTATTATAACTGACTCGTCGGAGCGCGAGGATTACGTGGTTACGTTGCTTCCTCGCATTTCGCACAAAGTTTGTCGCGACGGCGGACGAGAATCCACGACCGGTTCGCTGCAAAAGAAAGTCTGTTTTTGAGGTCGCTGAAAGAAGAAGAGAAGAAGGAGAAAAAGGAGCGAAGACAAACTGAGGTGATTCTTGGAGATCTCGTCCAGCGATGGCGCGACCGAAGCAGACGAAGGGTCTAAAAACTGACGCGTCGGTCGCTGAATTACTTCTAGACAGGAAACTTCAACAGTAATTCTGAATGCGCACAAGGACTGTCGCTGTATTTCTCTTCCCTTAAAAAAAATCCTCTATACAACCTTTAAGGTAAGATACGCATTATTGTCCCCATAGACAAATTCATCCTGCGTTTGATCTGTCCTTCAGCGTCTCTGGGTTAAACCTGTCAGGAGCAGTGGGACCATCTTCAGATCTTGGTCCAGTCTTGGTCAGGACTATCTCAGCTGGAGGATTTGATCTATTGTACGTGTTTAGGGATGTGGAAAACTAGAGGAAACCCACTCAGACACAGCAAGAACATTCAAACTCCACACAGAAAGGTGATGAAGGAATCAAACCTGTAACCTTCTTGCTGTGAGGCAGTGCCGTGCCACCAAGTAAAACTCTAAAGTAGTAAGGGTATTTGAGGAAACTATTACTACTACTCAAGTAAGAGTAATTGTAAGGCGCAACATCTGATTTACGATTTTAAGCAACTGTAATTGGAAGGAAACATTATCATTAGGTGTTAGGTTTATCTAAACATTAAAACAAGAAGAAAGACAAGAGATTAATTCAGTTTTACTCGCGAGGAGAACGGGCAGAGAGTGGGCATCAGACCAACAGTCTCCACACGTTCTGATGACTCAAGGCCGCTCTCCTCTTTTTATTTCATTAGGAGGCCCTAGTTACAGAATGATAATTCTCAAGGGGAAGGGGAAACCAGCAAAGACATAATAAGAAACTGATGCAGCTATGCATAGTATAAACACATAAAACATGATTAACAATCAGGAGGTGCATTAGGTCAGACACCATCATAACTCTTGCATGTGTGACAGTGGGAGTTGGCTTCATGTGAGGAATCATCTCGAGCGACAGGACACTGCACACAGTTGTCAAACACACAGAGGTTATTCATTTTCATACAAGTGATTGGTACATTATAAATCAAAGAATTGTAGTACATAAATGGTTAACTCATAGGCCTAGAATATCACACAAGTATTTAGCAAATATGTGATAATAAAATTATTCTGACATTAGGTCAACATAAATTATATTTTAAAAGCACTGCGTAACATTTCTGGTGGATTGTCCACTACCTACTTATCTCCACGGAAATGTTATTCTTTCATCTAGAATGTTCCACAGTATTGATCAGGAGCGAGACAAACAGACCAGTTACAGCACATTACGATTCAGATCGAATTATAGTTTTTCGAGCAACAGAAAAAATAATGTAATGACTAAATGCTAGATGGAAATGTAATGTCATACCAGGGATCTTTAATTTAACTCAAATTTCAGCCGTGTTTGTGATTGTATAACTCGTGTACAGTAAGTTAGATGAATGTAACTTGGTGCAACTCTATATTGTGTGGCTTTGACCCTTTGCTCCTCTCAAACGGCAGCAGGTCCACAGGTGCACGAGGCTTCAGTTTCCCCACATGATAATACTTACTCTGTGTTGAGTTACAGCCTCTCTCACCTCTCTCCCTCTTTCTCTTTCTCTCTCTCCGCCCTCCTCCTTCTCTCTCCCTCCTTTCTCTCACTCTCTCTCTTTCAATTTTGTGTCCTCTCTCTCTCTCCCGTGGGCCTTTTCCTCCCTTTTCTGTCTTACTTCTTCTCTCCCAAATCCTTCTCTCTCTCTCTCTCATCTTTCTCTGTCCCTCTTCTTTTTACTCCCCTTTAATCAACTCTCTCTCTTTTCTATACCTCTCCTCCCATCCCCATCTCTGTCCTCTCTCTCCTCTCATCTCTCTCCTTTCTGTCCTCTACTTCAAATCCTCATCCCTCTCTTCCCCCCCTTCCTCCACTCTCTTTCTCTCTCTCTCTTTCCCTCACTCTCCTCCTCTCACTCCCTCTCTCTTCCAATCTCTCTCTATTTTCTAATTTCATCTCTTTATCTCTCTCTCTCCTCCCTTTTCCCAACCTCCCTCCCCTCTCTCTGTCCTCTTTGTTCCTACTCTCTACCCCTCTGCCCTTTTCTCTTTCCTCTGTCTGCTCTCTCACTTTCTTTTGTCTCCTCCCTCTCACCCCTCTCCTTCTCTTCTCTCTCTCTGTCTCTCACTCTCTCATCTTTCTCTTATCTTTTTCTATCCTTCTACTTTTTATTCCCCTTTCACCAACTTCTCTCTCTTTTCTATACCTCTCCTCCCTTTCTCATCTCTTCTCTCTCTTTGCTTCTCTCCTCTGTCTCTATCCTCCAATCCCTCTCTCTCATCTCCTTTCTGTCCTCTATCTATCTCCTCCTCTCTTCTATTTCTATTTATTAATCTCTTTCTCTCTCTCCCTCACTGTCTTTCTCATCTCATCGTCTTTCATCTTTTTCCTCAACTCCCTTCCCTCTCTCTATCTATTTCCCTCTCTTTCTCCTCTCTCTTCTCTCTCTTTCTCTCTCTCTCTTACCTTTCCTCTCTTTTCCAATCTCCCTCTTCTCCTCCTCTATTTGCCAATGTCCTCTCTCTCTCTTCTTTCTCTTTCCTCTCTGCTCTCTGTCTCATTTCCTTTTGTCTCCTCGCTCTCTCCCTCTCTCTCTCTCTCTCTCTCTCTCTCTCTCTCTCTCTCTCTCTCTCTCTATCTATCTATCTCCTCCTCTCCATCTCTATTTCCCAATGTCATCTCTCTCTCTTTCTCTTTCCTTTCCCCAAACTCCCTTCCCTCTTTCTATCCTCTTTGTTTCTACTCTCTGCCCCTCTGCCCCTTTCTCTGTCTTTCACCCCCTCCTCTCTCTCCCCCTCTCCTCCTCTCTCTCTCTCCCTTTCTCCTCTCTCTTCTCCTCTATCTTCTCCTCTATCTCTCTCTCTCTCACCTTTCCTCTCTTCTCCAATCTCCCTCTACTCCTCCTCTAATGTGCCAATGTCCTCTCTCTCTCTTCTTTCTCTTTCCTCTCTCTACTTGCTCTCTCACTTCCTTTTGTCTCGTCTCTCTCCTGCTCTCTTCCCCTCTCTTCCCCTCTCTTCTCTTTCCTTCTCATTTTTATTCACTTTTCACCAACTTCTCTCTTTTCTGCACCTCTCCTCCTCTTCTCATCTCGCCTCGCTTCTCTCTTCTCTCCTCATTCCCCATCTCTGCGCTCTCTCATTTTTTCCTCTCTCTCTCTATTTCCCAATTTCCCAATCTCTTTCTGTCCCTCTCACTCTCTCATCCCTTTCTTCAATCCCCCCCTTCCCTCTCTTGATCCCCTTTGTTTCTACTTTCTGCCCCTCTGCCCCTTTCTTTCTCTTTCTCCCCCTCCTCTCTCTCTTTGTCTCTCTCTCTCTCCTTCCCTTTGTCCTCCTGTCTCTCCCTTTCTCCTCTCTCTCTCCCCTTTCTGCTCTCTTCCAATCTCCCTCCTCTCCTCTATTTACCAATGTCCTCTCTCTTCTTTCTCTTTCTTCTCTCTGCTCTCTTTCACTTCCGTTTGTCTCTCCTCCCTCTCTCCCTCTCTCCTCCCTCCCTCTCTCCTTCCCTCCAGGTCTCGCCCTATCCCGTGATCATGTCCATAGAGAACCACTGCAGTGTGGAGCAGCAGCGCGTCATGGCCCAGTACCTCACCCTGATCCTGGGGGACAAACTGCTGAAATCTGCCCTGGACGGACGGCCTCCCATCGGGCTGCCCTCGCCCCACGTGAGTCTGTGTCCTCAAAACCGCCTTTCACAAACACATCTCCTCGCTAAATGATATCATTAACTCGACGAAGCGTGTACGAGTTATTTATAAATGTCCAATTATATAAAATTATCACGGGTCTGACCGCTGTGGTCAAATACACGCGTCAGGAAAGTGAAAATAAACTGGTGTATAATATAAAATGTGGTTAATAACTTGTGCATTGTAGGGTTTTTTAAAGGTGCCCTGTGTAACTTTTCTGTTGGAGGGTCCGTCACCTTCTTGTTTCCACGGATACATCATTGATCGGCCTAAAATGTTCCACAGTGTGACATTAAACAGCTCTACTTTACATTTATTCCGAAACACGTGGTTTTCTAGCTCAAAAATATCTAGAGAAACTGTGAGCGGTGTCGCCTCGGCCACAGATCTGACCTGTAACTTGGTCCGGTTTGGTCTCCATGACGATAGGAAGGTTTAATGCCACACTGTGGAACATTCCAGACAAAGCAAAAACATGTTCATGGAGAAAAGCATGTCACGGACTCTTAAGGAAGATGATTTGTTTCATCAGAGTTAGAATTTTCTTTGAATTTTTTTAACTCTGAAAAAAAAGTTTGAATTATTTTTATTCTGAATTTTACTTGCTGAAATTTTAACTCAATTTCACATGACTCCAGATTCACTTTTAGCCCGGCGAGGTACTTCCGGTGGCTCTGGGCCGATTGAACATGTGCAGAAGTTCTCACGTGATCTCTTTGACCAATCAGGGCGAACGATTATAAAGCGTTTTTTAAGACAACTGAAGGATTTTGAGCTGAGAAAAAGTTTATGATCTAAAAATAGGTCAAAATCGCCACAAAATCCGACATTTTTGAAAGCTGTAGGTGCCCTCTCGGCTGAACACGAACAGTTTGTGATTACATTGAGCTCTATGGGAAAAGCAGCAACACAATCCAGTTATTTTAATAGATCCATGAGTTTAACAAAAACTTTTAGTATCACAGCCATGATTTAGCCTTTATTTTTTATTGAACCGTATCGAATTGTTTTAAAATATATCGTATCGAACCGAAAGCGCTCCGTATCAAGGTATGTATTGTGTCGGCAACTTCTTAACGATACCCAGCCCTAGTGAGGCGTGAGTGCCACCAAGTAAAAGTCCAATGAAGTGGACCAAGACAGTTTACTCAAGTAATAGTGAAAAAAATTTTGAGGAAACTCCAACTCAAGTAAGAGCAGTTGTAAAGTGTGACATCTGTTTTAGAATTTAAAGTTACTGTAATCGGAAGGACACATTATCATTTAGTCAACAATATTACGCAAAAGCATGCAGAGGTAGGGGCTTTGTGCGTTTGTGGTTGAGAAAAATGTCTGTGCTTTGTCTAAAAAGTTCAAAGTTTGATTTTTGGCTTGTTCTGTTTTGATGCTTCGCCCAATCAGCTTCAAGTTTTCAGTGTCGAACTCAAATCAGGAGTCCTACACGTATCACAGAGCCTGTTTTTATGGAACATTTTAAGGACTTCCGCCCAGTCAAACGATATATTATTTAGTTTTGGATCGTTAGTCACTGTGGCGTTCTGTCCCTGTGTCGTAGGAGCTGAGGGGCAAGATCCTGGTGAAGGCCAAAAAGATCGGGGGTCTGGAGGAGAGCTTCTGTGGTTTGGGGGAGGACTCTTTAACGGCAGAGGTCAGTGATGAAGACGACGGAGGAGAGCTCGATGAAGACGGTATCCACAGAGACAGCCTGCGACGAAGAGTCATGGTGAGTCTGAGAACTTTTTCCAGTTAAGTGGCTTTTACACAGTTATCAACTCAAACTGTACGACCAAATCTCAGGGTTTAAAAGTTCACAGCTTGCGATTCATGTTCTCACACTATACAAACAACTTCAACAGAGTGAAACCCTCACGAGAGGCGACTGGATTTCAAACAGGTCTGATATTCTTGCGACCTACGATTGCCGATTGGGAGCTGGTCGTCAGGTATTACCGCATTTTTCAGACTGTAAATCACTCCAGAGTATAAGTCGCACAAGCCAAAAAATGTGTAATAAATTAAAAAACATATATAAGTCACAGTTTTTGAGGGAAATGTATTTTATAAAATCAGAGACCAGGAACCGACATTTCATCTTAAAAGGGAAGTTCTCGTAAAAACAAGAGAAGAGAGAACAACAGACTGTTGAGACTGACAGACTGAACAGGAGCAGCAGATACTGACACAGTGTCACAAACTTACATCATACCAGAGTCCTGCACCGATGATTTGACGCTGAACCTTATTTTTGGGCTCTTCTGGTAACTTGAACTAATTAATGAGGCTGTTAATCCGAAAGCACATTTTTAAACAAAGATTACCGATTTTGACAGATTAAACTCCCAAAATACTAACACTTTCATTGATTAAACTCATTTTATTAATTACTTAAATCACCTAAATCTGTTGTTACATAAAAGGAAAAAGGAGGTGTTATTGTTTTCGATTTTGTGTTTAAATGAATAATGGAAAAAAACGGAAACATCGGATAATGGCCGTTTCCCATTTCCGTGGACTGAAACTGCGATGCTGGACTGAACAGGAAGAAACCAGGTCTAAACCAGGTCTAAACCAGGACTAAAACAGGACTAAACCAGGTCTTAAACAGGATTAAACCAGGTCTAAACCAAAACTGAACCAGGTCTAAACCAGGACTAAACCAATCCCAGTCTCTGTCCCGGTCTCCGTCCCAGTGTGATCCCAGACCAAGACCAGAATGGGACTGAGACCAGGATGAGACCAGGACAAGATCAGGACTAAGACCCGGGACTAGATCGGGACCAGACTGGGACTGAGACTAAACCAGGACTGAGACTGAGACTGAGACCGGTTTTGGAGACAAATCATGAAGAAAATATTTGTGTTTTCATTTTCTTATTTTTGGTTTTATATTGCAAAATGAATAAACGAAAGATACACGGATTGAAAACATATCTGCAATTTTATTTGTGTGAACGAAAACAAAACACAGGAAACAGCATTATAACATAGATCAGAAAATAAGGTGTTGTTTTGTGTAGTTTTTGTTTGTTTTTGTTGAGTTTTTGCCCGCTGACAGTTGGTCTCTGTCATCACTCGTGGTCGTGTTACTGTAGACTGACGCGGGTAAAGACGAATGAGGAAAGGCGTTTCGTAAAGTGTCTCGTCTCATGAAAATTTGAGCCGAGTTCAGCAGCGGCAGCAGCATCAGACTGTGGTGTTGGATACAGAGCTCTGTTTACACTCAGGTCAGAGACACTGGCCCAGGACTGCCCTCACAACCACCCCAACTGCCCCCATCTGCCCCCAACTGCCCCCATCTGCCCCTGCGCACCTGTGGACTGGGATGACCGACCAAACAAGGGGATACACTGAAACATTATCCAAAATTCAGGTTGTGTAACTTTTCTCGTGAAGGGTCCATCATCTGCTTATATTTTTGCTTGCTTTGAATGTTTCACAGTGTGGCATTAAACCTTTCTGTCATCACGGAGACCAAACCGGGCCCGAGTTACAGGTCAGATCTGTGGAGAGGCAACCCAGCTCACAGTCACAATGCTTTTTTTGTTTGTTTTTCTTGGTATTTTTGAGCTATAAAACCACCTGTACTTGAATAAATGTAAGGTAGAGCTGATTAATGTCACACTGTGGAACATTTCAGGCAGAGCAATGGCATCTCCATAGAAACAAGCAGGTGACGGACCTCCAACCAAAATGTTACATGGTGCATCTTTAAAGACTAAAGTGCGCATGACAGGATAGGCTACTCGTTTCATTAAAAATATAAATAAATCAAAACTTTACACACACAAAAAAAAATGTGTTTTGTTTCCCATAGTTTTAACACTTTTGGTGAATTTTGTAATTGTTTTTCCTGGTTGGACATGGGCAGTAGAGGTAATTCCATAATTGTTACCTATTGGGGTGTGCAAAAATATCAAAATGTTGATATCTTGTGTTGTTTAATGTGATGATACAGTATCGATATATCGCAAGAGTATTTTATGGTATATTTTACTAAATTATTTAGTTTTGTTGCTTGTTTTGTGGAAGGAAACTTGTTTGTGCGACACGTTTGACATTTTCACTGTTTTGATGATTAAAATGTTTGTGTTTCATATGAACTTTGCGTAAGACTTTTAGTATCACAGACATGATTTAGAAATTATTTTTTATTGAACCGTATCGAATTGATTTGAAATATATATCATATCGAATCGAAAATGCACTGTATCGAGATATGTATCGTATCGGCAACTTCTTAATGAAATCCAGCTCTAGTTACCTCGTAGTCATGTGACAATAACCGAAATATCGTGATATCGTATCGTCAAAAGTCTCACAATAATATCGTGGACCATCACAAAATATATCGAATCACAAGTTCCTTTGCTTAAATGCATGGTGTTATAGAAGCAACAGCTTATAAATGACGGAAACTACATATCCCATGATTCATTTCAGCGCAGACGACATGACGAAATACGTTTTTGACTTGAATTCTTGGGATTGTGATGGAAATAATTCACACCAAAATCTTGTCAAGGTATTTTAAAAGCAAAAAAGTGTCCTGCCTACAATTATATCAGCCTCTTTAAAATATCTTAATAAATATCGTACCGAGAGAGTTGGATATCGTTACGTCTCTATTACCTAGCATTCATAATGTAATAAAACAAGGGCCAAAAGTCGTGTAAAAGTTTATTTGACAAATAAAATAACATCTTTATTTTCTCAAATGGATATTTAACTGTCAGAAAATTGTGTTCCTTGCGCATAAATTGTCATAAATGGAGTTTTGTGACGACATAGATAGAGGGATTCCTTTTTAGACAGCTTTTTTCTCAACTCAAACTGCCACTTAACTGATGTAAAACCATAAATAATGACCACAATACTATCCATCAAACCAAATCAGACTTAGAAAAACATGAAAACCTGTCGTACGCGCTAGGGATGCGCATGATTAATCTATAATTGATCATTAAGAATTTCATCGATTACTTTAATTTTAATCGACAAACTGAATGTAGGTTGCTGTGTTTATCGTGACCAAACAGGTGTGTACATGTGTCTCTGCACTCAGAAGAAGCGAGACACAAACAGTCTGAACGTACCGAAGCACAAATGTGTATTTAACGATGATTTGTACAAGAAATTCCACGCTTTCCGTTGCGTTCGGGACAAGTGTGAGTCCATGTGCACAGTGTATAAAGCAGCACATATGTTTCTGTGTCCAGTGGGAAAAAGTTTTTGCCAGGTGAGAGTCGCGCAATGTCGATGACGAGTCCCCACCCTCCCCCCCGTACGGTGTCCTGGTTTTGACAAACGCAAATATGGTCACACTAACCTGTATTCCACTGAGTCATGTCTTTTAATCCAATAGAAATTGACCGCATCAGCGACACAAGAGCTGTAGTTTTATCTTCGCTTAGTTTATGTAAATTAGCGATGCAGTTTTAAGTTTCGTTTCTGTGAAAGTTGCGCAAAACTGAATTAAACACATTATAATGTCAAACGGGCTGATGTGGCTCTAGAGTCGTTACGGTTTATTTGTTGTAAAGTAGAATTTATTTATGCACATTAGTAGTTAGGGCTGGGTATCATTAAGGAGTTGCCGATACGATACATACCTCGATACACAGGCCACGATACGATACATGTGTCGATACAGTGCACTTTCGATTCGATATGATATATTTCAAATCGATTCGATACGGTTCAATAAAAAAATAAAGGCTAAATCGTGGCTGTGATACTAAAGGGCTTTGTTAAATCACTTCTTATGCAAAGTTCATATGAAACACAAACATTTTAATCCTCAAAACAGTAAAAATGTCAAATGTGTCGCATAAATGAGCTTCCTTTCACTCCACAAGCAAAAAAACTGTAGCACTGTAACAAAATAATTTAGTAAAACACACCTAATAATACTCTTGGTAAAATATCGATACAGCAGCCCACGATATCGATACTGTATCATCGCATTAAACGATACGATATTCCGATATTTTTGCACACCCCTATTAGTAGTGCAGATAGTAATAATAATAATGATCATTTAATTTAGAAGGAGAGTACAGGCCATGCTTTATGAGAAATTTTCAATGTCTATCTTTGATTATGCTAATTTCTTTTTGCTTTATTTGTTTTGTTATAGTCCCTATCAATAGAAGCTTTGAAACCACTACTGACCTCGGACAGCCAACAAGCAAAATGACAAGCCACGACATGGAGTTGGCAGACGACAAAAACAGTAAGACACAAGGAGCACAGAAAAGGGTAAAAAGGGGAGCACCAAAAATAGTAAAACTTTACTACGAAGGACAAACTTGTAATATAGTATTTGATGTATGTGCTCAGATTACTAGTAGAACGATTAATTACTACTGCTTTAACACGAAATGCTCCCGTCTCCCAAATTTTGTTACTCTCTGCTGATTCTCAGCTCTCACGTTCTGACTCCAATAATTGGGTTTGATTGAAACCCTAAAAATTTATCCATTGATTAAATAGAGATAAAACCTTCCTGAGTATGTGCTCCTGGTCTCTTATTTTCGCTGTCCGAGTGTCATGTATTGATTATGTACGATGTTATTCAAGTATATTGTGTTGACAAGAATCTGGGAAATGTTATAAAAGAGCTAAAGCTAACAAAATTTTTTTGATTAATATAAAAACGTTAATGATTAATCGATAATCGATCGTTAATTCTTCCGACGATCGATTAAGAAAATTTCATCGAATGCCCATCCCTAGTACGCGCATTAACTACCCCGTTTAACTTTTATGGGGTTTTTTTTTCACAAAATTATAGGCCACACGATTTGTTTCATATACCCTGAAAAATGAGTCTTTCTCCCTCTTCAAAGCACAAAAAGTAAAAGAAAGTGTATAAAGTGTGATAGATGACAGTGTGTATAGGCTGGGTGTGCTGGGGTGAGTTCTCTCTCGATAAGGGAAACCCGATCTGACCGTGTGGATAATTGAACTCTGTAATCACCACTCGTAATGACACAGCCTTAATGTCCCCGTCCATTCACTCACAATAAACTTCACTGTTCACATTTGGAAACAGCACGTCTTAGATTACAGTTGTACCAGCACTGTGCTCCACGTAAACTCATTTTTATATCTATTTACTCGTGAAATTATGGTATTCGTTTTCATATATTAATTAGTAAATCCGTGTATCATTCGTTCATTCATTCAAAACAAAAAAAACTAAATTTTTTTTCATTATTTGTCTCCAAAACCAAAATGGAAAAAAAAAACAGATAATGATTCGTTTTTTCAGTTTTTTCGATTTTGTGTTTAAATGAAAGATGGAAAAAATGGATAACGGCCGTTTCCCGTTTACGTGACTTAAACTGCGATGCCGGACTGAACCAGGATTGAACCAGGACTAAAACAGGACTAAACCAGGTCTAGTCTAGTCTGGTTCAGTCCTGATTTAGACCTGGTTTAGTCCTGTTTTAGTCCTAGTTCAGTCCTGGTTCACACCTGGTTTAGTCCTGGTTTAGGCCTGTTTTAGTCCTGGTTTAGTCCTGGTTTAGACCTGTTTTAGTCCTGGTTTAGTCCTGGTTTAGACCTGTTTTAGTCCTGGTTTAGACCTGGTTTATTCCTGGCTTAGTCCTGGTTTAGACCTGGTTTAGACCTGTTTTAGTCCTGGTTTAGACCTGGTTTAGTCCTATTTTAGTCCTGGTTTAGACCTGGTTTATTCCTGGCTTAGTCCTGGTTTAGTCCTGGTTTAGACCTGGTTTAGACCTGTTTTAGTCCTGGTTTAGACCTGGTTTGGTTCTGGTTTAGTCCTGGTTTAGTCCTGGAACATTCCAGACAAAGCAATAACATCTGTGTGGAGAAAAGCTTTTGACAAACCCTCCACCAGAAGAGTTATTCTTATTTATTCTTATTTTTCTTATTTATTCTTTATTTTACAAATCTACATGTATAAAAAAAAAACAGTATCCAAATATTCACTTTTGTGTTTTTGCTGACGACGCGTGTTCCTGTGTCACAAACTAAGTCCATAAGGAAAGCTCAGAGCAGTTAGCCTCATGTTTAGTAATGGTCACCTGATCTCCTGAGGTAACGCGGTCTCTGCGGGTGAGTCCAGTCCCGGTCCTGGCTGTGGTCTAGTCCTGGTCCTGGCTCAGACCTGGTCTAGGGAGGCCCTGTCTGTGGGTCTCTCCTGTTTCATCCTCACAGGTCGACGGCGGTTTTGGGGCGTCACTTGTTTGACGTTTACAGACACATGAGGATCTGATCCCGTCTGAGAAAGTACTCGGTCTAACCCCAACAGCAAATACAAGGCTCGAATAAAGTCTGAGAGGAGATGAGTTTGAGAAAAGGTCCAAATTTATCAGAAGTTTGACTAATCCATCACCAGTGTTGGGGAGTAACAGATTACATGTACTGGAGTTATGTAATCAGAGTACAAATTATGAGTAAATGTATTCAGCTACAGTTACTGTTTCAGTGAGTGGTAATTGGATTACAGTTACTTTGTTGCAATAAATGGATTACAGGCCGGTGTTTTCCTGTTTTCACATTTTGGGCTAAACCAGGACTAAAACCAGAACTAAAACCAGAACTAAAACCAGAACTAAAACCAGGACTAAAACCAGGACTAAAACCAGGACTAAACCAGGACTAAACCAGGACTAAACCAGGACTAAACCAGGTCTAAACCAGGACTAAACCAGGACTAAAACCAAGACTAAACCAGGTCTAAACCAGGACTAAACCAGGACTAAAACCAGGACTAAAACAAGAACTAAAACCAGGACTAAAACCAGGACTAAAACCAGGACTAAACCAGGACTAATAAACCAGGACTAAAACCAGGACTAAACCAAAAACCTAAAGGACTAAACCAGAACTAAACCAGGACTAAACCAGGTCTAAACCAGGACTAAACCAGGACTAAACCAGGACTAAACCAGGACTAAACCCAGGACTAAACCAGGAAAACCAGGAACTAAACCAGGACTAAAACTAAACTAAAACCAGGACTAAACTAAACCAAAACTAAACTAAACCAGGTCTAAAACCAGGACTAAAACAAGAACTAAAACCAGGACTAAACCAGGACTAAAACCAGAACTAAAACCAAAACTAAAACCAGGACTAAAACTAGGACCAAAATCAGGACTAAACTAGGACTAAACCAGTCTAAACCAGGACTAAACCAGGACAAAATCAGGACTAAAACCAGAACTAAAATCAGGACTAAACCAGGACTAAAACCAGAACTAAAACTAGAACTAAAACCAGGTCTAAACCAGGACTAAAACCAGGATTAAAACCAGAACTAAAACCAGGACTAAAACTAGAACTTAAACCAGGTCTAAACCAGGACTAAACCAGTCTAAATCAGGACAAAAACCAGAACTAAAACCAGAACTAACTTTTTTTTTTACTACGTTTTTCTCACATTTATCATTTAACATCGTTGCTGCAGTTCATCTGAATAATCCACATTTCTGTTGTTTTATTCTTGTGTTTCCGCAGAAGTCGAAGCAGCGTCTGTCCAAGGAGCTGTCGGACTGCGTGGTTTACTGTAAGAGCGTTCACTTCAGGAGCTTCAAACACTCCAGGATCCACTCCAGGTTTTACGAAGTCGCTTCTTTCACCGAGTCCAAGGCCCGGAAACAGCTCAAGGAGGCCGGTAAGAGACGGTTTAAAGGTCCAAAATGACACAGAACTGACTCTAATCCATTATTATTAGTTGGTCTACGTCTCCTAAACTCGACATGCTCTGTTCCACCTCGTGATGTCATGAAGTGGTAGTGTTTCATGTTTGTCTGATTCTGACTTTTTGGCGTTTTGTGGGATAAGTTGCTGTGGTCAGTAGTTTTACATCGGTTAAGTGGCATTTTGTGGATGAAAAGTTGAATCAGAAAGTACAAAAATACCAGGACTAAGCCAGGACCAAACCAGGACTGAACCAGGTCTGAACAAGGAACTGAACCAGATCTAAACCAGGGATAAACAAGGTCTGAGCCAGGACTGAACCAGAACTAAACCAGGACTGAACCAGGTCTGAGCCAGGACTGAACCAGGACTGAACCAGGACTGAACCAGGACTGAACCAGGACTGAACCACCAGGACTGAACCAGGACCAGGACTGAAACCAGGACTGAACCAGGTCCAGGACTGAACCAGGACTGAACTAGGACTGAACCAGGTCTAATCCAGAACTGAACCAGATCTAAACCAGGAATAAACAAGGTCTGAGTCAGGACTGAACCAGAACTAAACCAGGACTGAACCAGGTCTGAGCCAGGATTAAACCCGGACTGAACCAGGACTGAACCAGGACTAAACCAGGACTGAACCAGGTCTGAGCCAGGATTAAACCCAGATTAAACCAGAACTAAACCAGAATTAAAACCAGGACTAAAACTAGGACTAAACCAGAACTAAACCAAGACTGAACTAGGTTTGAACCAGGTCTGAACCAAGACTGAGCCAGGACTGAACCAGGACTAAACCAGGACTTATTTCTGAAACAGAATTCCTCTACCATTGACAATTTACACCCAAGAAAGTCATTTTTTCTGACAGTTTATACCTTCATAAAAAATAAACAAAATAAACGTGTTGTCATTTATTTTTATTTGTCAAATTATAATTACTGTGCAGTGGCCCCAGTTAAACCTACGGACACCAGGCAGTATGGAATAAAATCTGTTTATTATGTCCACTGTCTGTGTCCAACCAAGCTAAATTTTAACTTGTAAAAAGAAAATCTCTCTCTTTAAAGGTTGTATAGAGGATTTTTAAAGGGAAAAGAAATACAGCGACAGTCCTTTTTCAAATGTTGTGCATGCGTGACACCACCTTCCTCCTCCACAGCTCCCTCAGTACAAACACCTCCTCCCGCCTCTTTACTCTAGAAATCACGCTTGTTTACAGCCAGTGCGTGTTCAGAATTACTGTTGAAGTGACCTGTCTAGAAATAATTTAGCGACCGAGCGTCAGTTTTTAGACCCTTCGCCTGCTTCCTTCGCGCAATCGCTGGAAGGAACCTCCAAGAATCACCTCAGTTTGGCTTTGCTCATTTTCCCCTTCTCTTCTTCCTTCAGTGACCTCAAAAACCGACCTTCTTTTGCGGTGAACTGGTCCTGGATTCTCGTCCGGCATTGCAACAAACTTTAAGCGAACTGCGAGGAAGCGACAGTTTGAAAAAGCCTCCAAGAACCGCCCCATAAACCACATAATCCCCGCGCGCCTGCGAGTCCGTTACACTAGAAACGTATTGAGTTTGATTGACAATCTAACAGCCAATAGAAAATGAGGGAGCCTCGTTTTTTATTGGCTGATGTTTCTGTGGCCTCACTACGCCCACAGTTGATAGATTTTCATTCTTTTTTTTTTTTTTGGTCATCATAATTACAAGGCTGCTGTGTCTCTGTAATGGTATTTTAAACTTTCATTGACAATTTGAAACAAAAACAAAAAAATCCTCCATACAACCTTTAAGTATTGAAATCTCCATGTTTGTGTCATTGTTTTTATTTCCTTGTGTTTTTGTTTTGCAGGAGCAGAGTTCGTGTACCATAACGCCCGTCAGCTCACGCGAGTCTATCCCAGCGGCTTCAGAACCGACTCCTCCAACTACAACCCCCAAGAAATGTGGAACGTAGGCTGCCAAATCGGTAAAACAGGACTAAACCAGGACTGAACCAGGGCTAAACCAAGACTAGACCAGGGCTGGACAAGGGCTAAACCAGGACTAAATCAGGACTGAACTAGGACTTCAGCAAATCTTAAACCAGGGCTAAACCAGGGCAAAACAAGGGCTGAACTAGGAATAAACCAGGACTAAATCAGAGCTAAACCAAGACTAAACTAGCGCTTTAACCAGGAATAAACCCAGGACTAATCCAGGACTAAACCAGGGATGAACCAGGATTGAACTAGGACTGCAGCAAATCCAAACCAGGGCTAAACCTGGACTAAAACAGGGCTAAACCAGGACTAAACCAGGACTAAATTAGGACTAAACCAGGGCTAAACCAGGACTAAATCAGGACTAAACCAGGACTAAACCAGGGCTAAACCTGGACTAAAACAGGCCTAAACCAGGACTAAACCAGGACTAAATTAGGACTAAACCAGGGCTAAACCAGGGCTAAATCAGGACTAAACCAGGGCTTAACCAGGGCTAAATCAGGACTAAACCAGGGCTAAACCAGGACTAAACCAGGTCTAAACCAGGACTAAACCAGGACTAAACCAGGTCTAAACCAGGACTAAACCAGGGCTAAATCAGGACTAAACCAGGGCTTAACCAGGGCTAAACCAGGACTAAACCAGCGCTCTAACCAGGCCTAATCCAGGACTAAACCAAACCTAATCCAGGACTAAACCAGGGATGAACCAGGACTGAACCCGGACCAAACCAGGACTAAACCAGGACTGAACTAGGACTAAATCAGGGCTAAACCAGGACTAAACCATGACTAAAACCTAACCTGTCTAACCCACTCAAGCAGAAAAAAAACAAAACAAAACCAGGTCTTGTCGAGGACTTCACCCAGATTAAAACCACCAGGACTAAACCAAATTGCTCAACGTGTTTATTTATTTTTCCTGCTTCTAAACATCAATTTTGCTCTGAAACTTTGACCCAGAATTAAACCAGGTCTAGCCCAGGACTGAACCAGGTCTTGCCCAGGAACCAAACCTATCCAACCTAGTAATAGTTCAAAAATATATCTCCCTTGTTTTGTTGTAGTTGCGTTGAACTTCCAAACAGCTGGAGAGGGCATGGACCTGAACGACGGCCTCTTCAGTCAAAACGGCGGCTGCGGCTACGTCCTGAAGCCCGGTTTTATGAGAGAAGCCGAGAGGAGGTTCGACCCCGACAACCCACAGAAACTGGACGGATACCAGCCCCTCACCCTCACTATACAGGTTACACTATTTTATCTGTAAATTCACAAAATGTCTAAAAATACTTTCTGTAATTTGCAGTATGAATAAATGGTGTTAATATTCACTACTATTACTGCAGTACTAATACTTAAAATACTCATTCCTGCATGTTGAGGTTGTCAAAAATATCTCGAGTTACAGGTTGGAGTTTGACGATCAATCAACCAGAGCCAGGATTAATCGAAACTAAAGAATCGACTCATTACACTAAACCGATTCAGATTCAACAATGATGATTAAAAACACACTTTATTTAGACAATAGAATGTGATTTTCAATATTAAATGTACTTACTTTTCTAGGACTAAGACTTGGGACTCGACTTGGACTCGGAGGTCATTGACTTGGGACTTGTCTCGGACTTGAGCCCTGTGACTCGAGAAGATTTGAAGATTCGTTGACAAAAAGCTATTATTAAGCGCTCTTAAATCTTAACTCTTTCTGTTCTCACCGTTAATAATTCACACTCTTGTCAAGGCATTTTAAAAGGATAAATTTGGTGGTGCTTTGGTTTAAAGACTTGAAATGACTTGAAGCTCAAAGCAGACGACGTGGACTTGACTTGGACTTACGGACCAGTGACTCGAGACTCGACTTGGACTTGAGGTCAAAGACTTGAGACTTACTTGGTCCCACCTCTGGCGTATAATCGTCTCTGCGCTCTTATACTTGTTCTGATACAGCTCAAGATCTTAAGACATTTCATATCCATTTCTGTCCTGTGAATGTGACTTTTTTAGTATCGATACCTGCTCAAAAGAGTATCTAGATTCAATACTAGTTTTAGTATCGATTAATATCTGATTTTCTACTTTTAACAGCCCTACAGGTATATAGTACAAGTTTATATAAATATCGTGATGTGTGTTTTACAGGTGATCAGTGGACAGCAGCTGCCCAAAGTGAACATAAAGGAGGGCTCCATCGTGGACCCTCTGGTCCGAGTGGAGATACACGGAGTCCCTCTGGACCAGAGCAAACAGGAGACCAGGTGGATCGAGAACAATGGTACAGTCAGCATGTTTTAGTGTAAAATATTAATAAGAAATGCACCGCGAAAGAGAATATCTACTCACAATATTTAAAATGGCTTTTGTTCAGAATATTAACTTCTATTGGATGAGTGGTTTTGACTGGAGTTGTTTAAAGCTACCAGCCCTGTTGTATTCTCACATATCACCACTAGATGCGTCTACGTCACAAAGCCGCGTGACCTGGTGTTTCTGCCGCCATATCGGAGGTCCAACCATCCGTCTGGGCCAACGTGTAGTATTTATGTGCGATAACATTTGAATTGAGTAACAAAGGTTTTGACCTGCGTTGCTATTGGATGTTCTGCCCGGAGTCAATCTGCTAACGAAGGAGACCAAAGTATCTTTCTGTGGGATCCCGGCTGATAAAGATCGCAGACAGAGGTGGATAGGGGACATAAAAAGAGAGGGATGGAGCCCACTGAGTGCAATTGTCTGTGCAGTCAATATTTTACTTCTGGTGTACAGTAAATGAAATGATAGATACCAAAACTATTATTTTCTCGTAGGTATGAAGAATAATAACCCACTTTCACCAGATTACGTCCCGTCATTATTCACGTTCAACCCCATCGCCAGTGAAAGACAAAGCAAAATGTTCGCTTATTTCCTCTGAAAGAAGATCTAACATGAAAAAACAGACACTGGAGGTTGGGCACAGAGCGAGCGTTGATTAAACTAACAAAGCGTCCATCGGAATTAGATCGGGATCTATTCCACAACCCCGGAGGACGACTTCAGCTTTATATCTTTCTAATAACGGCTGATCTAACGAGCTGGCGATTTTGGATCGTTTGAGCTGTTTAAAGTTGCCATGATTATATTGAAATGGAAGGACACCATCCGGATCAACCCCAGTCTTGACTTTCAGTACGGCCTCCAAAACATTAAATCACGTGACTGCTGGTTGGGAAAAGGCAGAACATCATATTGAATATTTAAATGTGACTGAGTGAAGCTCCTCTGTTGGTTTATTTTGGTTGATTTAGAATTCATGTCGCCGTCCAGGTCCACGGAGCTGGACGTGGAAATGAATTGAAAGAAGACAGAGAATTGAAATATATTTACTTTTTCTTTCAGGTTTTAACCCGGTCTGGTACGACACCCTTCGCTTCACGATCCACGCTCCAGAGTTGGCCCTGGTTCGATTTGTGGTGGAGGATTACGACAAGACCTCGAAAAACGACTTTGTGGGACAGTACACTCTCCCGCTGAGCTGCATGCAACAAGGTGTGTCAGATGCCCTCCCGTCCTCCTCCTGTATCCCTGTGTGTCAGATGCCCTCCCGTCCTCCTCCTGTATCCCTGTGTGTCCGATGCCCTCCCGTCCTCCTCCTGTATCCCTGTGTGTCAGATGCCCTCCCGTCCTCCTCCTGTATCCCATCTCTGTGTGTCAGATGCCCTCCCGTCCTCCTCCTGTATCCCATCTCTGTGTGTCAGATGCCCTCCCGTCCTCCTCCCTGTATCCCATCTGTGTGTCAGATGCCCTCCCGTCCTCCTCCTGTATCCCTGTGTGTCAGATGCCCTCCCGTCCTCCTCCTGTATCCCATCTCTGTGTGTCAGATGCCCTCCCGTCCTCCTCCTGTATCTCTGTGTGTCAGATGCCCTCCCGTCCTCCTCCTGTATCCCTGTGTGTCAGATGCCCTCCCGTCCTCCTCCTGTATCCCATCTCTGTGTGTCAGATGCCCTCCCGTCCTCCTCCTGTATCCCTGTGTGTCAGATGCCCTCCCGTCCTCCTCCTGTATCCCTGTGTGTCCGATGCCCTCCCGTCCTCCTCCTGTATCCCTGTGTGTCAGATGCCCTCCCGTCCTCCTCCTGTATCCCTGTGTGTCCGATGCCCTCTCCAGAAAGGGTCCAGTGCAGAGAACAGATTTCCCTACAGAGACAATAAATTGTTCATTTACCTTAACCTCCTGTATCTTTGTATGTCAGATGCCCTCCCAAACTGCGCAGTTTCTCTTTAAATGAATATTTCTTTCCTCCACCTTTTTTTTAAAGCAAAACAGAAGTAAATAGGAGGGTTTCAGTCACGTGATCACGATGATGCGCGAATATGGAGGGCAGGAAGTGAAGACAAACACGGCTCTGGAGAACACAGACATGGAGAAGAGTTCTTATTGTAAGGATTTAGAGCCAGTAGCGAGGCAAAAGTACGAGCAGTTAGTTGACAAATATATTGGGCGTGACCCCATCTTATTGAAAATGAGAGAATTTTCAACCGAAGTAAAAGATTTGCCGAGAATCGAGGCAGAGGATCGTTTGGTCTTCGCCGGGGTGTTTCTCTTATTTTATGTGTATAGACTGTTATAGGAAAAACTGCAGTGTATCGACAGTAACCTCTATCTGAACTATTTAATGTCAACAAACGTCGTTAGCCGTTAGTCGTTAATGATTCGTTTATGTGTAGGTAAACTACAAAAAACAGTTTAGCTTTGTAACAAACCTTTGTCGAAGTGGTCACTGCAGACACGAGCAGTAGCGAATTCTGCTCCTCCCGACCGTAAACAGGTTTGTAATCCACTTTTTACGGCGTTGTTCTGTCAGATTTTCCCATTTCTGACCTTTGTGGACGACTATATTCGGTACTCTAAAAAAATCGCTTTTCCTTCTCTCAGTTAGAACGATTGGCACAGCCGTAAACTACACAACACATCGGCATTTTCCTCCAGTCAGTTCACTTCCTGCCCTCCATCTGATTTTGCGTGCTGACAAACGTAGCCCTGTGACCCAGATATTAACATAGTGAAATATTGTCTAAAAAAATTGCTGACTACCTGACTAAAAACCAGTCATTAGTTACAACCGTAATTGGAACAAGGCCATGTTTATATTTCCAGCTTTTGAAATATCTCTCCATCTCCTCCTGTACTGTATTTTAACCATCCATTTTAACCATATCCCTGTGTGTCAGATGCCCTCCCCCAGATGCAGAGTGTACCTTAACCTTAACCTCCTTTATTCTTGTGTTTCAGATGCTTTCTCAAACTGTACATTTTCTCTTTCAATTTATATTTCTTTTTTTTTTAAAGCAAAACAGAAATAAATATTATCTAGTGAACTATATTCTCAAAAAAGTCGACTACTAAACCAGCCATTAGTTACAACCCTAATTGGAACAAGGCCGTATTTATAGTCGACTCTTTTGAAATATCTCTCCATCTCTCGTTTTCCATTCTTCACTGCATTTTTCCTCATACATTTCCGCCATTATTTTTAATTTTGCCGCGTCTGCACCGCTTTACGTCAGCCTATAATCTATTACAGAATAATTTTATGCTTCGCTGGCTCCAGAAGTCAGCGTTTTCTCCCCCCTCTGTCCTCTCTCCCTCCTGCTGTTTTTGCACTGCTGACCGCTTTTGTTTCGCACGTGGGCTCGCGAGGCACCGGTCGCATCAGTCTTGCGGGTCTAATTTTACCCAGAGTTCTGCAGGTGCGCGCTGGGGACGTTATTAGCATACGCGGTAAATGTCAGGTGTACGACGTGGAGGAGAGGAGGCTAACCTTTTCTTCTGTGTCCTCAGGTTACCGCCACATACACCTGCTGTCTAAAGATGGAACCAGCATCCCCCCCTCCTCGCTCTTCGTGCATATTCGCATCACTGAGCTGTAGAAATTCTGGAAAATACATTTATATTCGATCGTTTAAAGGCCCTTTACCTGATTTTTACTGTTTTAAAAATGTTACAAACACAACTAGTTCAATTTAAAACAGTTTGCAGTTGTCCAAAGTTACTCCTTATGCATTTGGAGCTCCTAATTATCCTAATCATCATAAGATCTTTTCACAATTTGCTGACACCAGTGCAGAGTTTCGGCGTCATGATAAACCTAGCAGCAACTAGCATGCTAACCGAGTGCTTCCTGATTCTCAGACACAGACAGGTCACAGCAGTTTTATTTTATTTTGACCCCAAACAGAAAAGCAGAAATAAACATCCAGTCAAGTGTACCGCAAAACATTACAATATCAGGGTTCCCACGGTCCATGGAAATCCTGGAAAAGTCGCAAATGTCATTTCCCAGGCCTGGAAAAGTCATGGAATTTTGTAAATTTAATGAAAGTTTTGTAAAAGTCATGGGATTTTAGTATCTCTTTCACAACTACAGCTTTTGGCTGTTGTGATTATTTCTGAACGTCTGCGCCTTTTGTTTAAAAGAGACGACAATAAATGCACTGACAGGATTTTGAATGTTAAAAACTATAATCCCAAACAATAAGGTGAGTGGAAAGGGTTAACATTTCATATTTAGCCTTAAAAGTCTGATCAGTTCTACACATGTAGGTGCAGTAAAGTCATGGAAAATTCACTTTAGGTCATGAAAAAGTCATGGAAAATTTTTGAATTGTTGACAGTGAAAATTTGACTAGACGGCTACTGAACCAATTACTACCCTAACGCAAATCATTAAAATATACAATGCACTTCCTGATTCTCAGCACACTGCAGACTTAGAGCTGCTTTTACAATATATCTGTATTAGAGCAAGAAAAATTCAGCTCAAAATGAAACATGAAAATACAAAATCAGGTACACGGCCTTTATATATTGACACCTGAAAACACTGCACTCAACACTAACTGAAGTGTATCCATTTTTATGTGATTTTATGTAGGACTGGGGTTTTCTGAGACCCTCATAACAACCCCGGACCCCTTATTGTAAAATGCAACTGACACATAATGAAAAAGTGCTGTATTCAATCGGGATGTAATGATATCCAAATCTCACGGTACGATATTTATTGCGATATTTTGAAGAGGCTTATATAATTATAGCTGGGACACTGTTTTGCTTTTGAAATACCTTGACAAGATTTTGGTGTGAATTATTTCCATCATAATCCCAGGAATTCAAGTCAAAAACATATTTCTTCATGTTGTCTGCGCTGAAATGAATCATGGGATATGTAGTTCTCTGTGTTCATAAGCTGTTGCTGCTATAAAACCATGTATTTAAACAAAAGAACGTGTAATTCAATATATTGTGACACCCCACGATATCATTGTGAGACTTTTGACGATACGATATCACGATATTTTGGTTATTGTTACATCCCTAGTATTCAAGTGTGTGATCCACCTGCTTGTCTCCATGGAGATTATATTGCTTTACGGATGTTCCACAGTACGGTACTGAACTTCTTTCTACTTTCTATTTTTCTGCTTTCTATCTACTTCCATGAGGACAATCAGATGAGGCTGCAGGTCAGATCTGTGGAGAGGCGAGCCCGCACACTGTAAGAATACATGTTTTTTTTGGTGTCTTTGAGCAATAAAAACACAGATAATAGATAAGGTTGGAAACAAGTGTTGGACCTTCCACCAGAAAAGTTACATAGTACACCTTTAAACTGATAAGACATTTGAAATCTAGTTGATAAATCTATTTATTTAAATTATTTATTTATTTGGTTATTTAACCTTATTTCACATTTCAGTTAAATTAAGAAAATATCACTATCACTAATAGTTAGGACATTTCTGTTATATTTATTTCAGAATTCTACTTCTAAACACATGCATTATTCTTAGCTTATTTATGTATTTTTTCAATGTTATTTTTATTTTAGTTAGGTTGTATTTCATTGGATGGCATAGTTGTAGTTAGTTGTAATTAGGAGGGTTTAGTCTGTTTAAGTTTGTTTCCTCTCTGTAACTCACCTTTAAATGTTTAACTACTTCATACTTTAATCATTATTTGTTGTGGTATAATAATAATACTGCCAAATGTATTGTGTTTGCATGTTGTGGGCTGTGACTTTAAATTAGATTTTTTAATTTGTTGTTAATTATGAATTATTAGTAGTATGAACATTTTTGTGATTGTAACATTGTTTTGTGTTGACAAATGTGCCACAGTAGGTTTAGGGACCATTCCATCAGTATTTATCATAGCACTACTTCACTTACATTTTATTCCATAGTTTTTGCTTCATTAGTAAAATATTATCTTTTTTTTTCTTACATAACATGATTTCCGAACTCGTTTTTAGTCCTTTATGTGTCATTGTATTGTTTCATGAGCGGTGTTGTACATACCGTAATACCCATAGTGTAATTGTGTTTTGATATGTCTATTTTTGTATAAAACCATGTACAATGTTTACTTTGTGTCTTTGTTGTTTTTATTGTGAAAAGTGTCATATTATTTAAAAAGAAAAAGTAAATAATTATAATAAACTGACTTTGAACAGAAAACTGAAATTTTGATAAACAGTTTTTTAATATAGTTTTAAAAATCTTACTCAGATTTTAAAAAAAATATATTAAAAATGCTATGAAAAGTTCAAAATAGGCCGTAATTTACAAAGAAATATACTGTATATTACAAAAACAGATAAATATTAAAATTAAATGGCACAACTGTGAAGCGGAACCTTTCTTCATCAATTGCGTTCTTTCGGAATCTAAACGTTTAACACCGCCATAACGCTGTTGAGCTAAAAGCTAACAGCACTAGCACTTCCTGATGTTTTTCATATTAAAACCAAACTTTTTACTATTTTTATGTTTGAACTTGAACAGAGATACATTGAAAACTTTACGCATATTTTAATACATGTATTTCCAAGTCAACTATGTCCCGTTAGCCCAAATTTTATTATTTTTTTTAGCAAACGAATATGACCGATTTACTCGACTTCCGGTGGTAGGACGTCCGGTTTGTTGACTTTACAGAAACACATGTGGTTCTTGTAGGCTGCTGTCAGTGTGTTGTTTTTGGTGTGTTTTGGCAGGGTTTGTAGCGAAAAAAAAAAATGGTGGGTAAAATAAAACACGTCCGACAGAAGCTGCACCAGGAGGCGGTGAAGTTCGAGCCCAGTGTCCGGCAGTCGACGCCTCTCCCCGGGTTCCCCACAGAGAAACCCCCCGTGATCCTCCTGGGGAAACAAAACACAAGTCCAGCTGAAAACAAAAACGAAGACACTGCTAAAACTACTCCACAGGTTTGTATCAGTATAAATATGTGTATTAAAAAGTAAAAAATATTTCAAATGACACAGCAATGCCATTCTTTTGTATTTACATTTTACATATTTCTTATTTTTATTACTTTTTTGCGACTTGCTACTGCATGTGGCCATTGAGAGTTCATTTTTGTCAGTTTTTGTTAGTTACAACGTAGACTCAGATTTCAGTTTAGATATGTTCTTATTTGTACTAATTAGGGGTGTGCAAAAATATCAAAATATCGATATATCGTATTGTTTAATGTGATGATACAGTATCGATATTATGGGCTGCTGTTTCGATATCACCAAGAGAATTTTTTGGTATATTTTACTAAATTATTTTGTTACAGCGCTACAGTTTTGTTGTTTGTTTAGAGCAGAGGTGTCAAACTCAAATTTAAAACCGTGACTAAGTTGTGGGCCAAACAATATATTTAATGAACATTTTTAAACAAATCTTTTCTTATTATAAATGTGTAATAATAGTTTTGCTTAAACATTGAATCCAGAACAAGCCAAATATAAAATAATAGCAAGATTTTAAATAAGTAATGTCTCTATAGTCGATCTGTAGCTCTAATACATGTTTGATATGATCTCACGGGACAAATATAATTATATCGCGGGCCAAATTTGGTCCCCGGGCCTGGTTTAGAGGAAGAAAACTTGTTTATTCAACACTTTTGACATTTTAACAGTTTTGATAATTAAAATATGTGTTTGTTAATAACTCTGCACAAGGAGTGGTTTAACAACGACTTTTAGTATCACAACCATCATTTAGCCTTTATTTTTTATTAGACCATATCAATTTGAAATATATCGTATTGAATCATATAAAATCGAAAGTGCACAGTATCGTATCATGGCCTATGTATTGAGGTATGTATCATATCGGCAACTTTTTAATGATACCCAGACTTACTAATAATATTATCTGCTCTAATTTATTTGTAACAGTTCCTAGTACATTTTATTAACATGTATTTACTTATTTAGCATATTTCGGTTTTAGTCAAGTCACTCTACTGCATGAGAAAGTCCTTCATAACATCTTCACCCTTCCTAAAATAGTCTCCTCGTGTGTGTAGACCCAGACCACAGCTCAGACCTCATTTCCATCGGGAATCTTCTCCGGAACAAAGATCTCTGCAGAAGCCCTAAAACAGACGCTAAAGTTTGAACAGCCTCCAGATCTGCCTCCAGAGCCCAAGAAAGGTAAGAAAATCTCTGACAAAAAAGTGTCCATGGATCCAAGGACTGTTATTATAGTGATTAACAATTTAAAACAAATTATTATGTCTTTTGAATGGGAAAAAGTCCATGAAAGGTTCTACAGCAGCAGGAAGGGTGCTTTTTTCTTTTTTTTGTTCATTTTATTTTTAGGTTGTTGACCATTTTAGACAAACTTATTTTCTGATATAATTAACTTATTTTGAACCAAAGACTCAAGCTTTTGGCCTTTGACCTTTATAAGACATGTAATAACTGCTGCTATTATTATTATTATTATTTTGTTGTATTTGGATATTGACATTATTTCTAGATGTTGTCGTGGACTCTGCCATCGTCATTGGAGTTGTATTATTTTGCATGGATATTGGCATCTCCATAGTAAATAAGCTCTATCTGGACCACAAAGCTGTTTTAAAGCCTCTCAGACAATCAGAGCAGTGTTGACTTGTTGTTGCACACAAACATTGAACATTTTACACCAACGAACCAGCCTTATTTCATATTTATATTCATATAAACCTTATCAGTTTAGTTTGTGAATTACCATATTTTTCGGACTGTAAGTCGCACTTTTTTTTAATGGTTTGAGTGTTTCCTACGACTTAGAATTAAAATTTTCACACTGAAGCGTTGAAAGGCTCTGGTCTTGTGTGTCAGTATCACACCATTACTTCTGTACCACTGAAAATTCGAAACTTAAGTGACTTCATTGACACCAAAACCATCCTGTCGGGATTCAGAAAGGCCAGAATAATTCTAACTGGAACTGACGCTGAGTCTGACGACAGCGACACAGAAGAGGAAGCGGCGCTCTGTTTACCTCCGGAAGTCGAGGAGTTGCTCAAAAGTGACACTGAGGATGAAGAATTGAATGGATTTAGTGATTTGGAGTGAGATGGAGAGTGAGAAGAACTGTTCATATGTGACATTAACAGTCTGTTGTTCTCTGTTCTGCTGTTTTTATGTCGGTTCCTGGTCTCTGATTTTATTTAAAAAATGCCCCCAAAAAGTGCAACTTGTAGTATGAAAAATACAGTACACATTTGTTACTTTTTACTCAGTTTATTGCACTAAATTGCAGTTACAGTTTAATCTATATCTGTGAATTTGTTTTAAGCGAGTATCTCTTACTAAAAACTGCACAGTATATTGGGATCTGTGTGCTTGCTCAGTATTTTTTATTATTTTCACCAACACTTCTTGGGGTCTCGTCATCCGCGGTTGGGTTGTATCCTCTCCAGGAAGTTGACCGCTCCTGTCCTGTCGTTCGCTGGTCAGACTGAAGCCCCATGCAGTGGTAGAATGTTCTGGTACATGTCCTGACACTTGCATTGTGCCTGCAGAGCCCTCCCTTGCTCCTCTAGCTCTCTTTGTATCGCCGAGACACACCTTCTCGCCACCTCTAGCTTGGCGTGGACCTGCCTGTGCATCCTCTCCAGCCCAGTCGCTATGGAGCTTAAATTGTACTTTTGTAACATCAGACTGTTGTGCGCTTGATCGTTACACAGTTCGTTGTGTTTTCTTTTATTCAGAGCATCAATGTTATTTGCGTTTTCGCAGGCTCTCGCTTCGCAGTTCCTCATTTGCTCCATCACCTTCCACAGCGTCTTCTGAAGCTCGTCCATTTCGTTTTGTGCGTGCTGCAGCTTCCAACGCGTCTGCTCCTCCTTCTTTCGCATGTCGTGGGTCCGTCTCCTCATGGCCCGGTTCGTGCTCGACCACTGGCGACCGCACGCATTTCGCAAATTTGTCAACGTGAACTGGACGTTTTGGCGCAGGCTCGCCGATCTTCTCAGCAAACTCTGACACGTGTTTTGCATCTTGTCGCACTCGGACTTCCACTGATCGTAGCTGAGGGGTCGCTGTTTGCGTCCAGTTTGCGAGATTTGCAGCGAATTCGTGTGCGTCATGCAGCCCGCCATGATCTCAGTCGCTTCGGATTTGTCTTGGAAATTCGTGTAGAGGTGGTTATGGATGTCTTTTAGCGAATCGATTTGACCGTAAAGAAGATCGATATGATTTCTCAACGTACTGATAATCTGGTTGGTTAGCCGTTTCTCGTTTTTCAATTCTGCGTACACGTCATCGCACACAAACGGACCGAAATCTTCTTTAAACTTCACACACTCAGCGATAAAACGAGCGTACGTCTGCCTGTCCTCGAGCTGGGCCTCTACGTCGAGTTTCAGCCGTTCCAGCGCGTCCACTTCCTGCCCCACGTGCTGGATGCCGAGCGCCGTCAGCGACTGCCACGTGGCTAGTTCTTGATGGCGGGTCACAAGGTGATGGGAGGTGATGTGGAGTTCGGAGAGCATCGAGGAGAGGTCGACGTCGAGGGCGCTGGCGGTTTCGTCGCTGAGGTCCATGAGCGGGGTCGGAGTGAAGGGGTTTTGGAGAAAGATCTGGTTGCAGCATTCCAACAGTGATTCAAAACCGTGCAGTGGACAAGCTCTCCTGGAAAAAAGAAAAGTTATGTTAGAGATGAGGAAACCAGGACTAAACCAGGACCAGAGCTAAATCAGGTTTAAAATAGGTCTGAACTCAATCTTAACCAGGGCTAAACCAGAACCAAACAAGGACTGAACCAGGTCTAAAACGGGGCTAAACCAGGACAGAACCAGGACAGAACCAGGACTGAACCAGGAAAGAACAAGGACTAAACCAGGACAGACCAATGACTAAACCACAACTGAAGTAGGGCAGAAGAAGGTCTAAACCAGAACTAAACCAGGACTGAACCAGCACTAAACCAGGACTAAACCATGACTGAACCAGGACAGAACAAGGACTAAACCAGGACTGATCTAGGACTGAACCAGGACCGTACAATTTTTCTTCTTTACTTAACTAAACCAATTTCTTAAGCAACATTCTTATTTTATTTATTAAAAAAAAAAAGAAAGAAAAAGAAAGTTATTTTAGAGATTAGAAAAAAAATACCAAATTGCATTTTTTATTTATTTTTTTTACAATTACTGCGGTTATATTGGCAGATTTTGTTTTAATAATAGGATTCTCTTCAAATGTCCTCATTTATTCCTCATATTGAAACATGTCTATTTTTAGTTTCATTTTATTTTGTCTTATCAAAAAACAATAAATGATTTTCGGTTTTAATTTCCTGAATATGAACAATACAGACTTTTAATTAGCGCAGTTATTACAAAAAATAGACCAGTCAGTAATTCTTTTTAAACTACTTTGGACACTTTTAGCCTTGGTATTTTTATTATTTCATTCAAAGTATTTATTTAGAGTTTAAAAATGACTATATATTTAGAAATATACATTTAAAGCAATCTTATTTTTAGCATTTAAAAAGAATTGTGTTTAATTTTTGTCATTCTAGCTTAACATTTCCTCACAAAAAACAACAAAACAATAAAATAAACTGTTTCCTGTTTTAATTTTAGTTCCAAAAATCCTTAACCTAAACTTAAATAACTTAAATCTTCAAATTTCTTACCTCATTTTTACTCCTTTTAATAAAATGCGCATTGAAAGTCTGAACACAACAGTAGAAAAATTGTCTGTTATGGTTTGAGCGTTTCCGTGGCAACAGTGTGTAGTTTATTTTTATTTATGTTAATTTATTTTGACTTGATTTAGGAAAATGCAATTTGGCTTTATAAACAACACTTCTATTGCATTGTGTTGGGAAATATAAAAAAATAAGTTTAATTATGATCTTTTTAATGAATAGATTTTAAAATGAAAAGTAAAATGAAGCATATTTTGATGCTGATCACCATGGAAATGGTTGTTGGAACTTGTAGGCCAATGTGAGTTCTTCTACCAGGACTAAAACAAAACTAAATCAGGACTAAACTAGAATTAAAGCAACACTGAACCAAACTGGGTCAGAACCAGGTCTAAAGCAGGTCTGAACATAAACTAAACCAAGACTAAAATGGGACTAAACCACAAAAAAACAGGGCTAAATCGGGTTTAAACCAGAGCTGAACCAGGAGTAAACCAGGTTTATACCAGGTCTAAACTAGGACTAAACCAGAACTAAACCAGGACTGAACCAGCACTAAACCAGGACTAAACCATGACTGAACCAGGACAGAACAAGGACTAAACCAGGACTGATCTAGGACTGAACCAGGACAGAACAAGGACTAAACCAGGACTGATCTAGGACTGAACCAGGACCATACAATTTTTCTTCTTTACTTAACTAAACCAATTTCTTAAGCAACATTCTTATTTTATTTATTAAAAAAAAAAAAGAAAAAGAAAGTTATTTTAGAGATTAGAAAAAAAAAAACAAAATTGCATTTTTTATTTATTTTTTTTACAATTACTGCGGTTATATTGGCAGATTTTGTTTTAATAATAGGATTCTCTTCAAATGTCCTCATTTATTCCTCATATTGAAACATGTCTATTTTTAGTTTCATTTTATTTTGTCTTATCAAAAAACAATAAATGATTTTCGGTTTTAATTTCCTGAATATGAACAATACAGACTTTTAATTAGCGCAGTTATTACAAAAAATAGACCAGTCAGTAATTCTTTTTAAACTACTTTGGACACTTTTAGCCTTGGTATTTTTATTATTTCATTCAAAGTATTTATTTAGAGTTTAAAAATGACTATATATTTAGAAATATACATTTAAAGCAATCTTATTTTTAGGATTTAAAAAGAATTGTGTTTAATTTTTGTCATTCTAGCTTAACATTTCCTCACAAAAAACAACAAAACAATAAAATAAACTGTTTCCTGTTTTAATTTTAGTTCCAAAAATCCTTAACCTAAACTTAAATAACTTAAATCTTTAAATTTCTTACCTCATTTTTGCTCCTTTTTAATAAAATGCGCATTGAAAGTCTGAACACAACAGTAAAAAAATTGTCTGTTATGGTTTGAGCGTTTCCGTGGCAACAGTGTGTAGTTTATTTTTATTTATGTTAATTTATTTTGACTTGATTTAGGAAAATGCAATTTGGCTTTATAAACAACACTTCTATTGCATTGTGTTGGGAAATATAAAAAAATAAGTTTAATTATGATCTTTTTAATGAATAGATTTTAAAATGAAAAGTAAAATGAAGCATATTTTGATGCTGATCACCATGGAAACGGTTGTTGGAACTTGTAGGCCAATGTGAGTTCTTCTACCAGGACTAAAACAAAACTAAATCAGGACTAAACTAGAATTAAAGCAACACTGAACCAAACTGGGTCGGAACCAGGTCTAAAGCAGGTCTGAACATAAACTAAACCAAGACTAAAATGGGACTAAACCACAAAAAAACAGGGCTAAATCGGGTTTAAACCAGAGCTGAACCAGGAGTAAACCAGGTTTATACCAGGTCTAAACTAGGGATAAACCAGAACTAAACCAGGAAACTGTATCACAACTAAACCAGGATGAAAACAGGACTAAAACAGGTTTAAACCAGGTCTAAACTAGGGCAAAATCAGGTCAAAACCAAGGCTTAACCAGGACAGAACCAGGTGTAAACCAGGCCTAATCCATGAATGAACCATGACTGAACCATAACTCAGCCAGGACTGAACCAGGTCTAAACCGGGACTAAACCAGGGCTAAACCAGGTCAAAACCAAGGCTTAACCAGGACTGAACCAGGACTAAACTAGGACAGTACCAAGACTAAACCAGAACTAAACCAGGACTGAACTCCGACAGAACTAGGACAGAACCAGGACTGAATCAGGATTGAACCACGGCTGAACTAGGACTGAACCAGGACTAAACCAGGTCTAAACTATGTCTAAATCAGAGGTAAACCAGAACTAAACCAGTACTAAACCAGTATTAACTAGGACTAAACCAGGACTTAATCGGGATTGAACCAGGACTAAATCATGACTAAAACCAGGACTAAACCAGGACTGAACCAGGACAGAACCACAATTAAACCAGGACAGAACCAGGACTGAACCAGGACAGAACCACAATTAAACCAGGACAGATCAAGGACTAAACTAGGACTAAACCAAGACTTAACCAGATCTCAACCAGGACTAGACCAGAACCATACATTTTTTCTTCTTTACTGACCTAAACCCATTTCTTACCCAACATTTTTATTATATTTACACATTTTAATCCCAATTTTACCTCAAACCTATTCTCCTTTTGTCCACTAGATGGCACTTCCTCCCTTACATTACCCCGTTTACACCACCAGCTCACGTGTGGCTTCCCTAACGCCACTAATTCACCTTTTTTTTTTTCTTTCTTTTCCTTCTTCTTTTTGAAACGATAGATTTTAGTTGAAGAAATTGGCGCTGAACGGACGGACTCCAAAGGCCGCGTGTAAATGATACGACTTCACAGAGCGTAGAGGAGGATGGGAGCCCGGTTGCTAAGCGCAGTACAGAGCATGAATCCTCTCCAGATGAGCTATTTATAGACGAGGTACAAATTTAGCACACCCAAGGATCCAGGCGTTAGCGCATCGTCACTGTTTGCTGACTTGGCCTTCTGCAGACGACTGTAATCAGCGTCAGAACGTCGAGTAATAAAGGTTTTGTTTGAGGAAATAACATTAGGCCGTGCGGAGAAAGAGCTGAGGTAAAAGTGATAAAGGAAGTGAAAATGACAGGACTAAACCAGGACTAAACCAGGTCTAAATCAGGACTAAACCAGGACTAAATCAGGACTAAATCAAGACTAAACCAGGACTAAACCAGGACTTCCTCAGACGACTCTAATCACCATCATAATATAATGTAATAAAGAGTCCAGAAATAAACAAGGACTAAACCAGGTCTAAACGAGAACTAAACAAGGACTAAACCAGGTCTAAACGAGAACTAAACAAGGTCTAAACGAGAACTAAACAAGGTCTAAACCAGGTCTAAACACGGACTTTATCAGGACTAAATCAACATAATCTAAACCAAGACTAAAATGGGACTAAATCAGAAATAAACCAGGGCTAAATCGGGTCTAAACCAGAACTGAACCAGGACTAAACCAAGACTGAAGCACGACTGAACCAGGACAGAATAAGGATTAAACCAGAACTAAACCAGGACTGAACCAGGGCTAAACCAGGTCTAAATCATAACTGAATCAGGACAAAATAAGGACTAAACAAGGACTAAACGAGGGCTAAACCAGGACTGATCCAGGACTGAACCAGGACTACACCAAGACTAAACCAGGACTAAATCACGACTAAATCACGACTGAACCACGAATGAACCATGACAGAACCAGCACTAAACCAGGACTAAACCAGGACTAAGCAAGGACTAAACCAGGACTTAACCAGGACTAAGCGAGGACTAAACCAGGACTAAACCAGGACTAAACTAGGACTTAGCCTTCTACAGACATCCCTAATCACCATCAGAATATAATGTAATATAAGGTTTTGTTTGAGAAAATAACATTAGACTTTATTGAGAAAGAGGAGAGGTAAAAGTGATAAAGGAAATGAAAATTAGAGAACTAAA